AACACTATTAATTTACGCTATACTTTGATATACTTGTTAAACCAATTTTTATTAAGCTATTATTATCTTATATTTTTACGTGAGATAATATTATGTCATTTAGTTATAACGTAACGATGTGTAAATTTATTAAAGTTATATAAAAAAAAAAAAAAAAAAAAAAAAAATTTGTTTGATTGAAGTAAATTATACCTTGAAGTACACAAAATGGAAAATCATTCGGATCAATTTTGCAATCATCGAATTCCAAAAAAATCTTATTTTAAGTATGATAATGTTTTTAACATATAAAATTTAAACAAAAAGATATTTTGTAAAAAGATAATTTGTAAAACCTTCATCTTTGAAAGATTTAAAAAAATTTTATAATTACAATGAAGCTATTTTATTAACTATTTTAATAAATATAAAAATAAAAGTTACGTTTTAAAATAATACTAAAACATATTTTCTAATCAATTTTAAGTAATGCGTACACTTTAAACAGTTAAATAATAGAAAAATAGAAAAATTACTTAATATAAAAATAATGAGGAGATAAAAAGTTAGAAAATAATATATTTAGGAGCAACAAAAAATAACGCATCTAATCATAAAAAAACCTCGTGCAAGTTTTTCTTTCTTTGCTGTAAAATATTAAAAAATAGAAAATGGACGCCGCACAAAAAAAGCAAATAGATTCTTATAACCAAGCTCCTTTAGATGCTGTCATTTAAAAATAAAATGCTGTTATTAAGTAAGATAACAACGGCTAAAATAAATTTTTTTAAATAATTAATAGAGAACTTTGTTAAGAAATAAATAAAATCAAGTCAAAATAAGTGAATATGACTTTTGAACAGTTCTGTTAACACCAAATATAATTTTGCATGCATGTTTTTATTTATTAAAGATTTTTTTAGTTTTCCAAATAAACAAACGAGAAGTATACATTTTTCAAAAAGTTTATATTTTTTGTAAAGATAATAAACAAACGAGAAGTTTTCTTCAAAATATTTTTTGTAAAGATAAAAAAGTTTCGTATTAAATGGTTTAACACTTTAAAGCATAAAATTACTTTTAGACACTTTATTTTTTATAGATTTAAAATCAAGTTTCTACGATAAATTTTCATCTAGCATCATTCCAAGGAAGTTAACGTTTGATTCCATTTTAATAACTGTTTTATTCATATAGAGAGTGGATATTTTTGTTGATGTAAGAAATGTGATAACGCTAACAGGTAGATAGAACAACAATTTAGTTTTTTCTGCGTTTAATGAAAGTTTATCACTTTTCATCCATTCATTATTTTTTGATTATTTTTCATTAAATATTCTAAAAAGATCTTTTGCATTATTGTTTGAATAAAATTTTTTTAATGGTATTTGATCTTCAAACTCATGGAGTTACTTGCAGAAAAATGTTGGGATTATAACCAATCTTTACAACCAAGTAGAGATGTAGGATTATAACCAACCTTTACAACCAAGTAGAGATGTAGGATTATAACCAACCTTTACAACCTAGTAGAGATGTAGGATTATAACCAACCTTTACAACCAAGTAGAGATGTAGGATTATAACCAATCTTTACAACCAAGTAGAGGTGTAGGATTGTGTAAAGAAAGTGATGCTTGTGTTTTAAACTTTTTTTTTGTAAAAATAACTGGAAATACTTTTGATGATGCTCTGCTATTAGGTGTAATAGTTTTCTGAGCTAGAATTAGTTTTTAGAGCAAAGACTAAAACATCCATAAGTAATGAAAGTAAAATTTGATAGGTTTTATCTGGCGAAAATTTGTGTCCTATAATAAATCCATCCAACAAATCATGTATTGCATTGACAGCAAAATTCTTTATGACATGAATGTATTTTAACTCAACAAAAATGCGTTTAATTAATTTTTTATAAGCTGGTTTTGAGACACTTTAATTTCTATAATGTAATCAGTATTAAGAAACTTGATTTGACCTCACATAGTCTACAAAATTTATGTTTATTAAAAATTTTAAAAAATCTCTCTAATGGTAACCAAGTTGTTAGCAGAACAAATTGCTAAAGATACTCACACTTTGGTTTTTGATTGTGGATGGAGAAATTTGCAGAACTTTCCGAACTCCAAAATGCACTGGGAACTGAGGAACTATATAAAAAAAAAATTTCTTTAAATTTGCAATTAACTTTAAGTATTAACTTTATCAATGCAAATTAATAAAGTTAATACTCCTAGATTTTCATAAACATTTTAGACATAAGTAATATTTTCATCAGTGGTTCAGTAAAAATGAAACGAACATGATCTAAAGTTAACTGTATTAAATCTTGGAGTAATTTCTTGACACCTGCAGTTACAAATTGTGCATTTTGTCATGGTTGCACTTGCAGTTTATTAGAAAATGTAACAAATAGTTTGTGAATTTTCTTTTGTATGCTCTTACCTGAATAAACTAGAAAATCTGCATTACACAAATTGTTTATTTGTTGAGACGTCAAACATTAAAAAAGTTTTAGGATTTTCCAGCCTCAAAGCAAAAAAATGTTATCAAGCACTTTGATTGATCTTTTCTGAATAACATAACTAATGATTTTTTTTTCCCCAAAAGTAAGGATTTAATTAATCATTGATTCAAAATTATTATCATTTTGAAGAATTAATTTGTTTCAGATTTAATGCTCGTGTTTTTGAGTCATAGAGTTAAGAAAGGTTAGTAACCACAATAAAAAGCAAAAAGGTAGCTTTCTTTGACTGTAAGTCCTTTAGCTATTTAGTAGGGTCCTTGATTGTAGACCTTTTAGCATTGGGGTGTTGAATAGTGTTAAAAAAAAATATTGTCTATATCGAAAATATTGTCTATATCGAAAAAAATGACTTTTTTTCACATTTTTAGTACAGTGGTTAAGATAAGTTTAGGTAAGATTTAGCACAGTGGTTTTTTTGTTGATATTTGTGGACATTTCAGTGGACATTTGTTGATATATTAACAAGTGTAAAAAATATTTATGTAATTATTTAAATATAAATGAAATTAACGGGTGTAGATGATAACGTTTTTTTTACCTGGTCCGGGTTATACTTTAAATAAAACATTGTAAAAGGTATTCTTTTATATGAGTATATTAACAAGAGAAACCAAAAGTGACTACTCCATTAAAAAAAATGTATTTATTTTTACCTCTTACATCATAGTAACACGAGTACGTTCTAAAATCAGCTTGGTCCAACCAATGCTGAGAAGTAACATATATATATATATATATATATATATATATATATATATATATATATATATATATATATATATATATATATATATATATATATATATATATATATATATATATATATATATATATATATATATATATATATATATATATATATATATATATATATATATATATATATATATATATATGTGTGTGTGTGTGTGTGTATGTATGTATATATAACAAATATCAAACTGGCTTTTCGCTAACAGCTTATCTTTAAACACTGATAAAACTAAGTTTTCCTTATTCCATTCTAAACGAAAGTTTCAATCTATTCCAAAATCCTTACCAATGCTATATATAAATAACATCAATATTGAGCGCTCATTCACAAATAAATTACTTGGTATTTTAATAGACGAAAACTTATCCTGGAGAGCTCATATAAATCATATTAGCAATAAAATCTCAAGAAGTATTGGCATCTTATATAAAACCAGACGAATCTTAGACAAATCTACACTAACTCAACTATATTTTGCATTCATAAATCTTATGGCAATATTGTTTGGGGTAGTACAAATAAATCTAAACTCGACTGTCTCCTTAAACAACAGAATCATGCAGCACGCATTATTCATTTTCAAAATCGCTTCACAAATGCTAAACCTCTACTAAAAAGCATGAGGGCACTTGATATTTATGAGTTAAATATTTTCAAAATTACACAATTTATGTTTCAACATCAGTCAAAAAAAACGCCGAAGGTTCTCGAAAATATTTTCCATAAAACATTAAACCGATACAACGATACATACGATAGATCGCGTATCTACCGGAAGATTTAAAAAACCTTTGCGTTCATCAAAACTTACGAGCTTTGCCATTTCCTATCGTGGCCCAATGCTATGGAACCATTTTACAAGTCTGAGTGGTAAACTTAAAGAAGCCAATACCTCTCAAAAATTTAAAAAGAACATAATCGAACTTATTGCCAATCACGATTCTTTACATGATTTTTTCTTACAATACACGATTATTTCCAATTTTTATTATCAAAGGTTACTGATGAAAAGACTTTATCTTCTTCAGGTTCTCCGGTCTTGTAACTATTATAAATAATGAAATGTACTTGTATTTAATATTTCTAAATATTTTACGGAAATTATCTTTAATTGTAAATGGTTGCTTGACAAAAATTGAAAATATATATATATATATATATATATATGTATATATTCATATAGATATATATATGAGTATTTTTATATATAATAGAAGTATAAAACTCGCTTTATAAATAAGCAGTTCACAACGAGGCTTATACATTCTTTACAAAACAAAAACAAATTAAAAACATGCCGAAAAGTTAAAAGTCTACAAACATGCTTTTAAACCTCGCTATGTAGAGAGAAAAATTTTTGAAAAATTAAAAACTTATGATGAAGCTAAAAAAAAAAAAAAAAATTTTTTTTGATGATTTCAAATTTAAAAAGTTTGTTTAATTTTCAATGATAGATTTTAAAGAAACATCTGAATAATAGTTATTATAATTCCTTTATTTAAAAAAGGTTGTTTTAAAATCGGAAACTATCTTTCCACATACTCAATATCAATGCAATACCACAGAGTTTGACTGTTGCTAAGTAACTCCATATTGTATTGCTAGGTAACTACAATTTTATTGAGATGTACAAATAAGCAACCGTTAAATAAATTATGTAAATGGAAATAAAACTTTAGAGAAACATTTATAAATGCAACAAACGAAGCACGGATTTCTTGTGAAAGAAAAATACTTTAAAAAATGACACCACACTTTATTTAATAACGCATAATAACTAAATTGTTTTTTAAAAATAAAAAATATTTGACAAAAAAAAAATTAAAAAAATTTGAAAAATATTAAACAGCATTTTTAGGTAATATGAGTGCCGTGAATCCAATGGCCGTGATTCCATGAAAACTTGTGATTTAGGAATGGGGCAAAATTTTAGTATTTGTTTCAAAATTTCTAAAAACGCCTTTTTTATATACCATATTTCATTCCATATAGAACTTTTCCTGAGTTCATTAGAACTTGCTCAAACAAAAACGTTCTCATGGTAATTGTACCGCTTTATAATATTTTTATTACCTAACCCAGTTTTGATAAATAAAATCACTCGAAGTTGACGACGTATTGTTATTAACAATGGGCTCACAAAGTGACTTTAAATTTGTTGAGGACCCCTTTAAATCGTTTTCAATTATCTGGTTTAAATCTATTGCTAATTGATGAGGATCTTCAAAGCTGTAGAGCTTTACATGGTCTAAGTCGCTCGGAATGGTATCAAGCATGTCATATACGTTATGCGAGGGCAGAGTATTTTGACTATAAAAGCAGTCGTCTAAGTTTACTCTCTGCCCTTTGGAAATATAAGATTGACTAGATGAACAGTTTTCGCTAATATTGTTTACTAACGTATTATAAGATTTATTAGCGTCATAATGTTTAAGTCTGCTTGGCGAACGTACAAAATTATCACCATTAAAAGTGGTATCAAATTGTTGGTGCATAAAATAACTATTTTGATTTATATCACGTACTTGCATCGGAAATCCGGGATTGTATGCAGTTTGTTGGAATGGTGTTATGCTGTTAGGAGAAGATATCATCGGTAAATTTTGGCCGCATCTATTGAAATTTGAATGTGGTGAAAAATAAACAGAACCGTCATACCCAGAGTCGTTACTCGTAAAAGAGTCAGTACTTTGACGGTTTGATAATAAAAAATTTGTTTCTTCGCTTTTCGACAGTTTTTTTTCTGTTATTTTTTTCATTGAATCATCTAGATTAATTGAACTTAGGCTAAATTGATCGGACGACTCATCATCAACACGAAACGATATTACGCTTTGTTGATCTATGCGCTTTAAATCATCCTCAAGTTCGGATGGATTAATGTTACTTTGAACAGATACTGTCGAAGTCGAGCGTGGTCGGGCAAAACTATCACCAGTATAAGGACTATTAATATCAGAAGATGCGTAATTGGGACTGCAAACACGTTCGGAACTAATCTCTTCAACATTTGAAAGAGAATCAGTGCTAGAACACGGCGAAGATACGCTTAAGAGATTTTCGTAAGAATGATTTTGCTTTAACGGTGTATTCGCTGGAGAAAGAGAAGTGATGTCATCAATGCTTTGATGATGTTTCTTAGTTCGCACTCTTTTATTTTTTTCCTTAGGTTGTCCATCGACTGAACCAGCGCGGCGCCGACTAGATTTCCCTGCTTTTGCATCTGGGTTTATTACCCAATACGAGCTCTTTCCGTTGGTATCATTCTGAACACGCATGAATCGACTGTGCAGAGATAAATTATGACGAATAGAATTCTAAAAGCAAAATAATTCATATTTTATTAAATTTGAAAAAAATTCCAGGGCTTGTAACTGCGTATGAATTTCTATAAAATCTTCAACTGAGTAATATACAATTATTTAATTTATTAATGTTTTTTTATTTTATGCTCTGAAAATAAACATTTTCGTTTTAAAATCTAATGTTTCATAAAGAAAAATTTAAAAATTTTACAAAAATTTAAAAATGGAAACTTTAAGTGATATTTATGATAATATCTAACATGCTGACCTTCCAACCTGCACTTGATGTAGAATCCCCTTTATCTTTAAAATATGATATGTTTCTCACCATCCAGTCATATATTTGCGAAAGAGTCAAACGTTGGTCAGGTGACGCTTGGATTGCCTGACATATTAAATCTGCGTAAGATAAATTTCCCCATGCATTTTTTCTTGAGATTTTACGAGGGTTTTGCTCATTTTTTTTAAAATTATCACTAGCGTCTTCTTCGACTTCTTTTTCTTCTATAATAGCAGGTCGTAATGAACTACCAATATCAGCGTTATAATCGTTTTCGTGAATTGTTTCTATAGGAGAAGGCAAAATTGGCCATGTTCGAGATCTTGGTCTATCTTCTCTTTGAATGGTTGGACTATCGTCGTATATCAATTCCACATCAACATCCATAGCCTTGTAAAATATTAAAAAATTGCTTAAATTCAACGTTCTTTTAGTAATATAAACAAACTTTCATAATCGTCTTTTTCACCAAAAAAAATTTAAATAATCAAACAGTATAGCATTACGAGAAAACATTCAAATGCACTGACATTTAAAAACATATCTCGCGTGAATCAAATATACGGTTTTAACCATGAATATATATAGTTTACTATAGAATTCCGAAAACACTATGTTTCAAAAACAATCAGTTTAAAATCACGTTCTCCGAAAAGAATACAAGATTTATGATTGGTCAATAAAACAATTGCTTGAAAAAGATAACTTTACTATTCATACACACTTCCCCGTTGATGGTATTATCAAAACTTACCTTTCTTAACAACATTTTAAAATCTGATCAGCTGCCGCTCTTGTTCACTGTTTAACACCGCAAATTTTCTCTATAAAAATCAAAAACTTAAATATTTATTGCAAATGCCAAACTTTATTGATTTTAAAAACGAAATTATTAAAATAAAAACACGAAAAGTTAAAAGATCACAACATTCAAAAACGTGGTTGGTCAAAG